GTGGCCCCTTCCATGGCCTCCTTGCCTCTCATTCTTCCTATGAACTCAGCAGGCAGAGCTGTGGGAAGTCAAAGACAGAGAACATCATCCTCATTGTCCCACATGGGATGAAATGGGCTGCATGTGCCACATGGGCAAGGCGAGGGCACTCTTACCCTTCACAGTGAGTGTGGCTGAGGTCGTCTGATCCCCGAAGCAGCAGGCATACTGCCCACTGTCCTGGGGCTGCAGGTCCCGGACCACCAGCTCCAGCACGGCGCCCTCCTGCCGTACACTATACTTGCTTCCTGGCTGCAGAACCTCATCTCCATGGTGCCACTCCACGGGTGCGGCCACAGATGACAGTACACAGCGCAGTGTGGCGGCACCGCCCTCCAGCACCTCCATGTCCTTCAGCCCCTCCCGGAACCGCACCGGCCGTGCTGCAAAAGACACAGGCTCAGCTTGTCCTCACCCCTGCATACCCCTGGGGACCCTCTACAGTTGAGGAGAGCTGGGGGCACCAGTGCACAGTGCAGGCAGGCCCACCTCACCCTTTCTCTGTCGGAGGCTAGTGACAGTGGCCAAGAAACCTTGGCCCTTACAGGAGGGGGAGTCAAACAAAAGAATAAAGAAGGTTACAGTGTAATTGGCTGCATTATGTCTCCCCAAAATTCACATATTGGAGCCCCAACCCCAAGGCCTCAGATGGGATCTTTAAAGAGGTTATTAAGGTGAAATGAGGTCACTAGAGTAGGCCCTAATCCCTTAAGACCAATGTCCCTATGAGATTAGGACACAGACACATACAGAGGAACAACCATGTGAGGACACAGGGAGGAGACAGCCATCTACACACCTAGGAGAGAGGCCTCAGCAGAACTAGCCTTGTCTGCACCTGAATCTCAGACTTTCAGTCTCCAAGACTGGGAGAAGTAAGGAGCTGTTGTTTGAGCTATCCCGTCTGTGGTATTTGTTACATGGCCTGAGCTGACTGAAACAGATGGGGATGAGCCAAGCCAGGAGGGAGATACAGAGATGTCAGAATACAAGAGAAAGTCAGGAATAAAGCAGGAAAGAGATTACTGGTCAGGAGATCAACAGAGGGCGAGGGTAACTCTATCAGCTGTAGAGACCCAGAGATGGGGAAGGAGCAGTGAGAGGGACAAGCTGCGGAGAGACAGAGATGAACAGAGAGGGATGAAGACTCCCCCCCCCACACACACACACAAAGAGGGAACACAGACATAGAGAGAGGGAGCCAGATAGGGTCTGGGGTCTTCCTTGCCCTGAGTGATGAGAGCTGTGGGCACCCTGAGAATGGCTGGAGGCTGCCTGGCCCTGCCTGGGGACTCACCATGGACCCTGATGATGGAGCTGCTCCAGACACCCCCAACCTCACACTTGTAGCGCCCACCATCCTGCAGGGTGGTGTCAGTGATGATCAGCTGGGCCCGGTGGCCCTCACGGCTCAACTGGCACCGGGCCGATGGCCGCAGGGCTTTCCCATCTTTGGTCCAGCGCACAGGGCTATCTGGGGCAACAGTCTCACAGACAAGGGTCAGATCCTCCCCCTCTATGACTGTGGCATCCGTGAGCTCTCGGGAGAAGATGCCTGGCTTCTCTGCGGACAGAGAGGGAAGTACAGGGCACTTGGGGGCTCCTGGAGAAGCTCCAGGTGTCACTGCAGTCCTGGTGACATCCAGGTCAAGTGCCCATCTGCCCACCTCAGGCTGGAGACACAGGCAGGGCTGCCAGGGGGAGAGGCCAGGCTCTGTGTGGCTCCCCACACCACAGGGGTGTGGCCAGGCCCATGCCACACTGACCGTGGGATAGCCTCTGCACACCAAGTGCAACAATTCATCCTGAAACAGCCACACCCAGCCTCTCAAGCCCACCCGGGGATCCAAGGCTCAGCCCAAGGCACCTTCTCCATGAGCCCCAAGACCATGCTATACCCTCAGCCACACAGAGTAGCCCCTGCTACAGCAGTGGGCACACAGCCCACCTGTGACCCTCAGGGCAGCTGAGGACTGCTGGTCACCCGCTTCAAAGTAAACAGTGCCTGAGTCCTTGAGTGCGAGCTGCCGTAGGGTGAGCACATGGTAGCCACCAGGCTGGGCCTCGATCTCGTTGAGCTCATTGGCATACAGGGGAGTCTTGTCCAGGAACCAGCGGACGGGCTCGTAGTTGGCGGGGGAGATGCGGCAGCTAAAGGTGGCTGAGGAGCCCTCCTGCACCTCAGCGTCTCCCAGGTCCTCTGTGATGAGTACTCTCTGACCTGAGGAGCAGGGCAGGCATGTCAGGACCCTGCCAAGGGAAACAGGGCACTCCCCCAGAACTCATGACTGGGTTGGGCTCATGGCTAGAGTGAGCTGGTGACCAAAACAGGTTCAGGATGACAAAACTCAGGAGATGGTAAGGGGGTCAGAGCTGAACTGACCATAAGTACTTGTTTTAGGTCTATGGACAAGCCCCAGCCCCACTATGTCCTTCCACAGAACACACAGTGACCCACAATGGCCCCTCTATGAGCTGTGCTCCCCAAACGTCCATGCTGGGGCACTTGTCCCCGGAATCACGTAATGCAAACAAATCTTGTATTAACAGAATAAATCAGAGTGTGAAAATAGACATATGGCTACGTTAAAATTTAAATCTAATGCTTTGGGGGTTTGATAACATGAATTGCTAGAAAATAATTTTTTTTTGCTGCCTACTTAGGTCTGGGAACACTTAGAAAAATATTATAAACATGGAGATGGGTGTGCATCAGATTCCTCCACATTCATGGAAGTCTTAAAGCTGCCAGACACTGGACACCAAGCACTGGACTCTGGACATCAGGCACTGGACACCAGACACCAGGTGCTGGACACTGAGCACTGGGCACCAGGCAATAGACGCTGGACATCGGGCACTCGACACTGGCTATCAGACACTGGGCAGAGGATGCCAGGCAGTGGATAATGGGCATCAGGCACCGGACATTGGATGCTGGGCTGTGGACACTGGGCACCGGAAAGTACAGACTGCACATCAGGAAGCAGATGGGGAATTTTCATTCGAGGACCAACACACAGTGAAAAGGCATTAGCCACACCATGTGAGCATTTTAAGTTTTGTAAAGAGAGTGTTCTGTTTCTGTGTGGTGCTGTATTAACTGACTTTTTGATTAAGTGTGAGTACCCCCTTTATTAGAGAATGGAACATCTACTACACTAAACACTTTCACTGAGCTCACTGGACTCACTGGAAAGGGGAGAAAATACTGAGCAAAGCTTTCTTGTTATTCTTTTTCCTTTGGACCCCAGGAGGGGCCTCCAGTTGACTCCACCCTAGACTTTGGCCCGGGGTCAGGAGGGCTGAGCTCAACCCTGCCAGGATGCCACCATGCCCAACAACACAGTTTCCTTATCTGTGAGATGGAGACAATGATGACCCTCATCCCGCCTGCCAGGTACAAACTACTGCTCAAACCTGGAGACTTCCACAGGCAGAAGCAGTACATCCATGTGCAAATATACATGGAGATCATGCGTGGGGCCCGGACACATGCCAGCACATAGGAGGAGTTCCAGAAACACAAATGCAGTAATAAATGAGGGCTGCTAGCTCATTAGCACAAGATCCAGGTAGGAGGGTCTCAGAGATGAGACCACTTAGGGCAACCGCCTCCTAGAGATAGGGAGAGCGAGGCTGGGCTTGTCCAGGGTCTCCAAGTCTGCTTTAAACAGGGCTTAAACTGGCCACACCACCGGCTGTGAAACCCATGCAATGTGCCGGCCTCACCTTGCACCAGGAGCCGCGCCTGGGACTGCGTCTGGCCAATGTCACAGGTATAGGTGTCACTGTCCACCTTCTCCAGGGCGCTGATGGTGAGCCTCAATGTCGTGCCTTCCTGGCTGGGCATGTGCTTCCCTGAGGCGCGTAGCTCTGAGAGGCCTTTGCGCCAGGTCACCACAGTCGCGGGGTGCTCCGTTTTGCAGGTGAACATGGCCGTGCCCTTTTCCTCAACCTGCAGATCAGCCAGCTCCTCAGTAAACCGGTTTGCCTTTTCTGGGGGAGGAGGAGAGCAGGGTGGGGGTGAGGCCTGTAGACCCCACACTGCCCCTCAGGACACGGGCAGTTGCCCACACAACCTCAGGGACCTGGCTGAGCCTCTTCCCTCTGGGATCCTTCCCTTTCCACCTGGGACAGCAGAGCAGAGGGGGTGGCCCCATGCCATGTTGGGGGACAGAGGTCATGGGAGCCGCCCGAGTCTCTCATGCTTACCTTCCACATGGAGGCTGGCTGTGCTCTTAGAAACTTCGGTCTCGCATGTGTACTCGCCAGAATCCTTGAGCGAGGCCGCGCGGATGACCAGCACAGCCCGCGTGCCCTCACTGAACAGATCATACTTCTGACTCTTGCGAATGGCCTTCCCATCCTTCAGCCAGCGCACCGTGGTGCCTGCCCGTGACAGCTCACAGCTCAGCACCGCATCCTCGCCTACTGAGGCCCGCTGGTCCTCCAGAGGCTTCCTGATGTCCACTGGCCTCTCTGAAAGAAGCAGAGGTGGCCTGTGAGGCATGGCCACGGCCATGGCCATGCCAGCGGGGAGGGCAGGGCAGGCACTCATGAACTTTCAGGCTCTGAAGGCCAAGACCACAGACCTACAGCCCCAAACTCTGGAACCTGAGACCCAAGAGCCTCAGAGCTTTGGAATACCGGAAGCTCCCACTGTCACAAGCCAGGGGCCTTTGAGGGGGAGGTATGAAACCACAGATGTTCTCAGCATCATTCAGAGCCCATGACTCAAAGTGTGGCCATGGCTGGTACCAGCTGTGAGCTGAGCTTCAGTGGTCTGCACCAGTATTTGTGCTGGGAGCCTACAAAATGCCGATGGTGGTTTCACAGGCTTGGTGACCATGTGCCTTGTAGCTACCATGACAGTCGAACCATGTGTGAAAGAGACCATAAACCCTGCTCCTGCCCAGAGACAAGAAAGCCTCGCCCTAGAGACTGAGCCCCTAGATGACCAGAAACCCCCAACACCCTGACAGAAGCCTCTGGTTCCCCACCAGTGGTTGAGGAACACAGTCCCCAGAAGTGCCCCCTGGCAGACTGCCCAGCCCAAAGCCTTGCTGCAGGCTGCCTGGGTAGAGCCCAGGTGCAGCCTACCGAGATGCCCATCTGCCCAGGCTCATGGTGCCCACCTCTGACAATGAGTGAGGCCTTGGAGGTGAGGCCCCTCACGGAGAAGACCACCTCCCCGGCGTCACCCAGCACCGCCTCTCGCACAGCCAGGGTGTACTTGCGGCCCTGGCGTGTGGCCCGGAAGCGGCCGGAGGTGCCCACGGTCTTCCCGCCGATCATCCACATGGCTGTGTTGCCAGTGTCCTCGTGGGACAGGACACACTCAAAGCTGCAGCCTTCACCCTCCAGCACCTCCACCGTCTTCAGCCTCTTGGTGATGCCCACATGCAGGTCTGTGGATCATGGGAAATGGCCATCACGCTTGGCCAGGTCCTGGATGCCTGTCCCTCGAGACCAGTGCCATTGAGCCCTGTAGTGGCCACAAGGCCCAAATACCCACCCTCCCCAGCTCCAGTCTTGGCAGGCCTGCTGCCCCTCGACAAATGCCCCCTTGGCCTCCAGATGGCTGCACCCTGGTGTTTAACAGGACGGCCAATAACTGTGAGTTCCAACCAGGGCAGCTGCCTTCCTATCTGCTACAGACCAACAAGCAGAGAACAAAACACCAGAGGTTGTCACCAGCTCACATGCTCCAGAAGAAAAAGGACAGGTGCTCCAAGTGAAGGAGCCATTTAGCCCTGGGACAAACTCACCGCACCACCCTGCCCCCTTTCCAGTCTCATCTCAAACCCCACCAGATGTCAGGGACCCACCATAGGGTCACAGGCAACAGGCCTGCTATGCACGTAGAGGGGAAGCAGGCCTACTGTAGCTGAGCTAAGACAGCGGTATAGAGGGGAGGCCAGGTGACCACCTGGTTGGGGAACCAGGCCCAGGCTGTGCTCCTGGCCTGGGAACCCTTCCAGGGCGTCCCCCACTTGACAGCTCAGCCTCTTCCGCTTTCTCCAGGAGACTCCCTTGACAAGCCTCACATCTACCCACACACATCCTCTGGTGCACAGAGAATGTCTCAGACCCCTGTCGAAAACAAGCACCATAGGATTTCATCAGACAGAGTCCCATCCAGTCTCCCACATGTTCCTGGTTGCCCGCTGTCCCTGTCCACCTGCCTGCACCTGGGCCTCCTAAGTACCATGTCAAGCCTGTTCCTCCCAGAGCTTGCCTGACTCTCTCGCCTCAGCAGAGCAGCACTGGCTTTGGAGTGGGCGGGGCCTAGGAGAGGTGGCCCCGCCCCAGGGCTTCGACCACGCCCCCACGCACCGTGCACACTGACGCGCGCCCGTGTCTCCTCGTTGTCCAGGTGGCAAGTGTACAGGCCGGAGTCATCCCGGGTCAGGTCGTGCACCACTAGCCCGTGCGTGCCCGCCGTGTGCAGTAAGTCGTACTTGTCACTGGGACCCAGCTCCACGCCGTCCTTGCGCCACACCACGCGGGCCTGAGGGTCTGAGACCTCACACTGCAGGGCCAGAGTGCCCCGCTCCTCTGCGGACACATCATCGAGCGCCTTCAGGAACACCACCGGCTTCACTGCGGGCAAAGTGTAGACGGGTGAGTGAGGGAGCCACTACCTCCCGCCCGCGGGGATCTCCGGGAGGGGTACCCTCCTGAGAGTACTCACTTCTGACCTCCAGGCGGGCAGAAGCCATCACCTTGGGGGAGGAGGCACACACGGTGCCCGCATCCGTCTGCCGAACCCGCTTCAGCACCAGCGAGTGGCGGCGACCCTCATGGGTGATCTCATGGAAACTGTCGTTGTAGAGGGGTGTCCCGTTGAGCGACCACTCCACCTCCTCATCCTCGTGGGACAACTCGCACGAGAAGCAGGCGCGGCCCTCCTCCATGGCCTCAGCGTCCTGCAGCGGCTGCGTCACCGTCACCTCCCGCGCTGCCAGGAGCACACCGGGAAGCTCAGCGCACGCCACCGCCACCTCCCCCGAGACCCTCCCGGTGGCCCTGTATCCCCTCCCCCGCACCTTTCACGGTGACTTCGGCGCTGCTCTGGGCGCTGCCAGCCTGGCACCGGTAGATGCCAGCATCAGCAGGCGTGAGCCGCAGTACGCGCAGCTCCGCCATGTGGCCCTCCAGACTCATCCTGAACTTGTCAGACGGTGTCAGGGGCGTGTCCTCCTTGTACCACTGCACCGCCTTGGGAGGCGGTTTAAAGTCGCAGGACAGGACTACAGACTGCAGCTCGCGCCCTGCCTTGGGCTCCAGCGGCCGCGTGAGCACTACCGGGATGTCTGCACGGAAGGGGAGAGAGCAGCGCTGGAGGGCGGGCTGGGCCGCAGAGCCCTACCGCGGCTACCTCGGCCCTGCGCGGCGTCTGCACTCTCCCCTCCATCCGCAACCCGCCCACTGGCCGCAGCGCTCACCTGAGACCACCAGGCGGGCTGTGGAGCGCGACTTGCCGATGGTGAAGTGCACTGGCCCAGTCATGGTGGAGCAGGTGCGCCGCAGCGTCAGCCGGTGCACCGTGTCCTCCTGTTCCATGCCCACGTCCGACCCCGCCTGTAGCACTGTCTTGCCCAGCAGCCACTTGGGCGGCCGAACAGATGGGATGGAGGTCTCGCACTCAAACCAGGCAGGGGCGGGCTCCATCACCGTCACGTCCTGCAGGCCCCGCACGATGGTGATGGATTGCTCTGTGGGTGAGGGGCTGGTCACCGCTTGGCCCGCCGGAGGACCGCGGGTCACCCCTCTTCCAGAGTCCATGTTTCTTCTTGTGAACAAACCCTCTCCCTCCACACAGGGCTCACATCTCCCCACCTCACCCTGTGCCCCCCGACACCCCTAGTTAGGACCTTTTCAGACTTGGCCGCCTCCAAGTGTCAGGGCCAAAGATAAAGGCCATAGTCCCTCCCCAGGCACAGAGGACAGTTGCCTGCAGGCCCCTTCCCACACCTTCCACGAAGAGCTGGGCACTGGTCTTCACATCGCTCGCATCACAGGTGTAAGTGTCCTCGTCTTCGGGCTGCACGTCGTTGATGACCAGCTTGCGGTAAAGGCCATCGTTGACCATCTCATACTTGGGCCCAGGCCGCAGTTCCACGCCACCCTTATACCACCGCACCTGGGCGCTGGCCCGCGACATCTGGCACTCGAGTACACCGCGGTGCTTCTCCATAGCAATCTTGTCACGCAGTGGGCGCAGGATGGACACCGGCAGCTCTGTGGGCGGGCGGGGTCGGTGCAAAAGCTCAGCCTCCCGGAACTTCTGGGGCTGGGAGCTCTGCCTGTATAGCCAGCCTCCAACAAGCCAGGCTGGGCTGGGTGTTGCCTTCAGAGCTGGGACCCTCAGCATACAATTGACCACAAACAAGGTAGGCACGCTCTGCCCCCACTCACCCCAATGGATACTTACCCTGCAAAACCTCATCCTTCCCCCCACACTTCCCCTGCCCCTGCCCCACCTGTCCGAGGGCCATCCCCGTCATCCCTTCCTCACCCTGCCCTGGCCTGTGCATTAAGGCCCCTGCCTGCCTGCAGACCGTCCTCCCTCATGCCCCGTGGCCACTCTCTCCTGACATCTGGTCCACCAGGTAAGACCAAGAGCTCACTTGCTGCCAGGGCCTCAACCCCTTCTCTCCAGCGCCTGCTGCAGTCCCAGGAGGAAGAATTCACTGGTACCTCCATTTTTAAACAAAGGTGGGCTGCCTCCCCCAGACCCTTGTCTTCCTGCCTCCAAAGGCAACATCCCCTTTCTCTTCTCCTGGGTTACCCCTATCCTGTCCCTGAGGGGCCCCAGGGCTCCCCAGGCCTGTGTCTGGACAGCTGGCATAGCACAACTCTGTGTTTTCACATGCTGTCTGACTGGCACCCTCCCCTGAGACCCCCTCACCTCTCACTCGGAGCTGGGCTCGTGATTCTGCATTTTCAGCTACAAATCGGATTTCTCCTGCTTCTTCCGCCAGGACCCTTCGGTAGATGAGTGTGTATGTTCTTCCTGGGAACACAGGCTACTCAGCACTGGGAGAGCGACCAGGGGGAGGGGGAGAGGCCTTCCCACAGCCAATTGCTGTCACAGTCATACCTTCCTGGCGGATGCGCACGTTGTCACTGAGCCGAAGTTTACTGCCCTCCCAGAACCACTGGGCTGGCACCTCATCATGGGAGACCTCACAGGAGAAGGTGGCGCCCTCCTTCTCCATCACTTCCACATCCTCCAGGGGCCTCACGATCTGGACATTGCGGGCTGGAGCAACAAGGGAGGCCCTGCCACACCATGATGCATAGAGCTGCCTGCCCCTTCCCCATGCCCCAGCTTGCTGAGAGGTACAGGAAGGGGGCGGGGCCACCTCTCTGGTGGATGCAGGGGTAGCCGAATGTCTTTGCACTGGGCCCTCGCTCCTACTCTGCCCAGCCCTCACCTTGCACCTTCAGAGAGGCCGAGGTCTGAGCATCATGGGCGTCACACATGTACATGCCCTGGTCCCCAAGCACACACTGGTAAATGATGAGAGTCCGGCAGGTACCCTGGGCCACCATGCTCACCATCTTGCCCACCTGCAGCTCCACACCATCCTGTGGAGGGGGACATGGCCTGGTCAGGCTCTGGGGCTGCCCATACATCGGTCCCACTTCTACCCATCTACAGTGGGTGGCAGGGGGCAGAAGGGTCGGGGAGGAGGCACCTTTAGCCAGCGCACGTCCACATTGGGGCGCGACAGCTCACATTCTAGGGTCACTTTGTCCTTCTCTGTGGCCACCACGTCCTGCAGTGAGCGGATGAACCTCACAGGCAGCTCTGGGGAGGCAGGAGGGGGAGGTGAGAGGCAGGTCCCAGGGGTGCCCCTCAGGGCCAGGGGCCTGATCTGGATGGGATCACTCAACTGGTTCTAGGAAAGTGTGCTCCCTCCCCTCAGGATTCCCCATCCTGTCCCCGCCTGCCTTCCTGGGCCACAGTGGAGACAGGGGCATGTGCATGTCAAGTGGGTCCCCCCCCCCAGTCCCCGCTCCCCGCCCAAACCCCTCCCCCCTCACGCACCAGTGACCACAAGCCGTGCAGATGTGTGCACGCCCTCTGCCTTGAAGGCGATGAGGCCGCCATCCTGCGGTTGCAACCGAGACAGCGTAAGGGTGTGGATAGAACCATGCACGGCCAGTTGGCATGTGGGCCCTGGCTGGAGCCGCAGGCCATCGCGCGTCCAGCTGCCCTCCACGTCGGGGTGCGACAGCTCCACCTCCATGGTGATAGAAGCCTGCTCCCATGCCTCCACCGCCTGCAGGCCCCGCATGAGCCTGATCTGGCGCACTGCGGGGTAAACGCGATGGTGTGCCACTGCATCCAGACCCTGGCCTTCGGGCCAGCGTCCCCCACCTCCCCAGGGGTCCTCAGAGCTCAGTGTGGTGCCCTGGAGGGGGAAGCCTACTCCAACCCGCAGAACCGCCCTCCACGGGAGGCCAGTCCAGCCTCCTCTTTCCCTTCCACATCCCCATGACCCCACCCCCAGGGCCACCCTCTCCCTCCCTTTGACTCCCTTCCCAGGCCAAGGTTCCCAGCGGGAGACCTACTCCGCCTCCTCCCCTCCAGCCTCCCTCCCTCCCTCTTCCCTCTTGAGTGCTGACCCCAGGCCCAGCAGCCCCACAGCTCACTTTCTACGGTGAGCTTGGCCTGTGTCTTGTCGTCTGGGGTCTCGCAACCATAGAAGCCGCGGTCAGCGAAACCCACTCTGCGGAGGACCAAGCGGTGACTTGCGCCCTCGGCATAGATCACCACGTTCTCGCCTGGGGCCAGGGCAACAGCGTTTCGCGTCCACTTGACCTCTGGCCAGGGCTTTGTCAGCTCCACCTCCATGGTCACCGAGCCCCACTCCTCCACGGTCTGCGGCTCCAGCTTCTTCTTGAACAGGACCGGAGCCTCTGGAATCAGGGAAAGGACGGTCACACAGCCACTGCCACTCAGGAACTCCAGGCACAGAGGCTCCTGTCCCTGCTCCCCTCTACCCGCCAGGCGGCAGAGAGGCCTCCACCACATTCCCACTCCATGCCAGGCAAGGCCTTGGCCATACTCAAAGCCCACCTGCACGCCTGCACAGGTACAATTTCATGGGAGGAAACAGATTTTGTGGGAAGGAACAGAGGGTCATGGGACTTCTCCTTCTCCAGCTCCCTCCCACCTCCTGCTCCCCTGTTCTTAACAACCCTGCCATGCCCCAATGCATGAAGCTCCTAAATGTGGCTGGTGACCAGCAGCCTTAGGACACATGGAGCTGGTGAAACAGCAGACTCTGAGCCCTCAGATGGGCTGCATGTATTGGCTCCATTAGGCCCTGGGAGCAGCCACATTAAGAAAAACACACTGGAATGGACCTCCCAGTTCCAGGCTGTGCTATGACCTCCCCAGAAGGTGAATCTGCCCACATTACTCACTTCCTTAAGAACCTGCGATGGCTCCCACTTACCCTCAGGTGAAGTCCTGGCTGCCCGCCGGTACAATCTGGCTCCAGTGAGCAAAGAGCATGCCCACCTCCTGCCTCTGTATGCCAACTCCACTCCCTCCCACCTCACCATCCATGGGGCTCAGCGTGCGACGCTTCCTCCAGGAAGTCTTCACCCATTCCCAGACCAGGTATGCAGTGCAGCTGTTTACTTTCTCCCATTCAGACCAGGTGTCCAGGCCCTCTGACCCACCTCCATCTTCTCTTTGCCCCCAGCAAACCCTGTGTCCCCTGAGGTAGCCAGACAGATGAGCTGGACACCAGGGAACAGCAAGATGCCAGCCGGGAACCAGCCCACCAGGGAGGCGCCCAAACTCCCCGCCACCCCACACAGGCGCACCTCGGACCCGGAGGGCAGCCACGGATGTGACGCCCTCAGCCTCTGCGGTGATCTGGCCTGCGTCCTCCAGGGCCAGTCCCAAGATGGTCAGACTGTGGCTGGCGCCGCTCTGTGAGATGATAAACTTCTCGCTGGGCTGCAGCTGGGAGCCGTCCTGCAACCACGTGACTACTGCGTCGCTGGGGGTCACCATGCACTGGAAGGTGGCCTCGTGGCCCTCCTCTGCAACCACGGTGCTCAGCCCAGACGTGAACTTGACCTCACGGGGGACTGCGGACAGGAGCTCCGCTTGAGAGGTGTTCAGGATGGGCGGGGCCCCACCTTCAGATGCCGTGGAAGGACACCTCCTCCAGGAAGCCTCCCGGGAACGCCCAGGCCTGCGCCCCACCCGGGGCTCCCCAGCCTGCACGCAGTGGCCATGTACCTCGGACACAGAGCCTGGCGCTGGTGCGGTCATCGCGAGTCTCGCACACGTACTCTCCTGCATCCTCCACCCGCAGGCCCAACAAGGTGAGTGAGCGCCTGCTCCCCTCGGCCGCCATCTGGAAACGCTTGCCGGCCCGGAGCTGTGTGCTCCCACAGCGCCACAGCACCTCGGCCTGTGCCGGGCTCAGCTCACAGGCCAGTGTTGCGGTGCCTCCCAGCTCCCCGACCACCGGCTCCAGGGGCCGGCAGAATTTGGCAGCCACCTCTGCGGGAGGGGAGGGACATCAACAGGGAGAGGTTAAGGTCCTGGGGATCAACTCAGAGCTGCGGGGTCGTGCACCGAGCCCCACCCAAATCCGCTCCCGACACCGCCTGCACGCCCTCACGAGACTCCAGTAGACGCGGGTTCACAGAGGACTGCGTGCGGACCACTGACCTTCCACCTGCACCAGGAAGTCCTGCCCTTTGGCGCCCACGCGGCAACTGTAGACCGCACTGTCCAGGGTCTGGGCACCGCGTATGGTCAGGGTGTGCGTGTCCCCCAGACTGGCTGTCTGGTGCCGCTTGCTGCGGCGAATTTCCACGCCATCCTTGAGCCAAGTCACCGCAGCCACAGAGGGTGTGGCCAGCGTGGCAGTCAGGACGATATCCTCGTGTTCCCTGACCACCAGAGGCTCGTTTCGTCCAGGTCTCTCCAGGACTGGGGGCTCATGTTCCGGCTCTGGGGGGAAGCATGAGAACAGGTACCCTGGTATCCCTGGCCTGGGGTAATGTGGTGGGAGAAGACCTGAAATGGGGGTGCCCCAAGCTCCAACCCATCTCCAAAAACCTGCTCATCCAGCCCTTGGCTCCTGCCTCCACTGATCAGCCCAACAGTGACCACAGCAGGGTCCCACACCACCTGATGGCCACCATCTAGGCTCCCAGGGGCCATGAAGAGTGGCCAGGAGGGGCCCCAGCCACAGACTTGGGGACCGCAAGCTCTGACCAAGAGCCTAGAGGCCTGGGTGCCTGCCCTTCCAGGGAAGCATGGCCCCATAAGCCATGGGACAGTGGGGGGCAGCCTGGGGGCTGGGCCGACATTCCAGAAGGGCAGAAGGAACAGGGCCAGGAAAGGAGCTGGCAAGGCAGCCTGGGTGGCAGGACTCTGGGGACAAAGGCTGAGAGGTGTGGAACAGCCTGAGTGCCTCCAACAGCCAAGCAGCCAAGCAGGGGGACTGACAAAGGGGAGGGGAAGGCCCCAGAAGGGGGCCCAAGAGGGTCACTGTTAAGAGCTGATCCAGGGGGTTATCTGAAAACCAAGCTGGCCTGTAAGATGGGAGACAGGTGGACAAGGGCCACAGATGGGGATGGGGCAGCTCAGGACGAACAGCACAAGCAGGATTCTGAAACCGTGGGCTGTCATTCGCTGGGAGAGTTAGGAGGCAGGGGCAGACCAGGATGTGCCTCTGAGCAGAGGACAGCCCGCAGGGCTGACCTAATAACCACAGGAAGTCAGGACACCAAGGCCAGAGACAGGGACTTATGCTCATGGAGGGCAAAGGCACCCAAGATCAGAGGCCCCTTGAGTGAGGTTCCCCAGAGTTGGGCAGAGCTCCACAGCTGCCGAGGGTGACTTAAAATGGGAAACTCCAGGACCCTGACAGAGAATGGGTCTTTCCACAGACCTCAGGCCTCAGCAACCTACAGAAGCCTCTCTGAGAGGATTCATGCTGGGGAAGGTGGAGATGCGGCAAAGAGGTGCAGGACCCTGAGCCAAGATACGCCAAGAACATCCTACCACGGTCGGTACCCAGCATCCTCTGACCCAAAAGCTGGGGAGAGGAGAGAGCCCTGAGGCAAAACATGTCAGAAGAACCCAACCCAGATGCAACTAACCATAGGGCAGGTACAGACCTACATATAAGCCTACCCAATGATTGGTCAGGCACTTCTGCTCTCTGCACAGTCGGGTACCCACCTGTGACAACCAGGCGGAAGGAGACCCGCTGGCCCCCGGCCTCGCAGCTGTACTCCCCGCTGTCCACCTTCCCCGCCTGCTGCAGCACCAGACGCCGGGTGCAGCCCTTGGCCTCCACGCGCACTTTCGAGCTCCCACTCAGCTTCTTGCCGTCCTTGTACCACGTCACCTCCGTCTGGGCCTGGCCCACCTCGCAGCTCAGCGTGGCACTGGCCCCCGCCTCGGCCTGCACCTCACTGCGTGCCTGCTGCTCCTTGGCAAACACCACCGTGGGCTCTGGGGACAGGCAGAAACGCACAGGGTCAGAGACATCCTCTAAGTCAGGAGGACAGCCCTGGGGAGAGAAGGACTATGCAGGGAGGTGGGAGGACTGGAAACTTCTCCAGGCTCTGCACCAGCTGTGTGGCCTGGAGAAGCCCCACCGCCTTCTCAGCAACAAGCGGCACCATCCATCCAGCTGCACACCCACCACTGCCTGTGGGCCGGTCCAGGTGGGGACGCTGTGAAAGACTTCTCCTGAGCACACACCCTCTAGGAGCGGGACTGCGGGGCCATGAGGCACGCACAGTGCACTTTCCCAGGTGACGCAGTCCCTCCCTGCGGTTGTGCAGGAGCGTTCTCACTGCAG